GATTTTGTTCAGAATCTGACCTTTCTGGACCATGTGTCAGATTTTATATCAAGAATGTAAGAGATTTAAACAAAAAAGGAACAAACCCAATTAATGTATTTCAATAAAAAATTTATTTTTAGAATCTATACATAGGTAAATTCTAAAATAGGAGTAATACAGAATATTTTACAATATTTTAACAATTCATTCTTACTCAGTAATTCATCTCTGTATTTTTCTTTGTAGATACAAATACATTGGATTAAAGCAACAATCCTTTTAACTCCAAGTTCAATGCCTGAGTATTTTCATTATTTACAGCAGAAAATAGAAGAGACAATTACTTTTGCTTGGATACTTTATTTTCATTCAAAGCCTAGCAATTTCTTAACTTCACATTGTTCTGTCAAAAATGATAATCAAATGTCCTAAACAGCTAAAATCATAAAAAGATTACAAGTCAACTCAATGAAATTTATAAAATAAAATGATAACTATACTGAGATTATATATATATATATATATATGACCCTATTAGAAATATGTCAAAATAAAAAAGCTTTATTAAAGGAGATCCTTGGGGGAAGAGGGAAGAGGAGTCATATAATTAAATATTACTAAGAAGATTGCAGGTAAAAAGAAAGTGTACTCCAGTTTTAATCAAATAAAGGATGGCAGAATAGACCAGTGATGGTGAACCTTATAGAGCTCGCAATGACAAAAACAGCAACGATACGGCATGCAGGTCACAGGTTCACCACCACTGAAACAGACCACCACAGTTGTTAAAAGCTACGGAAAACACAATTTCTGTTCCATCGCAGGCCAGCTCAGTCCCTTAAGCGCTCAGGGTCAGACTCTCCAGACACTCTGCTCCTCTCTCACTAATTTCCTTATATAGAATCTTAACCTCTATTTATGGTAGCAACAGATTGCTATTTAGTCTGACAGCAAACAACGGGAAAAACACTGGTTAAGCCACAATGACTTCAGGCAGGCCATCTCAAAACCCCTGAAAATAGGAGTATAAATGAGTCAGTAAGAAACAGTATTCAAAGAGCATCTAATGTAATTTATAAATAAGCAAATGGAAAAGGCCATATAGAATTGAAAATTAGTAATGTCTTGGTGCTGATTTTTATCAAAATGATACCAAGCTATTAGTTGGAACAAACTTCAAATGCACACCTAAGTGCATCACCTCAGTTTAATAATCCAATAAATGACAAAAAAGACAAACAGTGAAAAGAGCATCATGTAGCACAACAGCTTGGTCTGGCTCCCTTTGGATAAAATCTTCAGTCTTCCCATGGTTTTACCTAGAAATCCAGTTGTAGAATCAAACTGTGAGTCCTATGAGAGAAAGGAAAATACAGCATTTACATTCTACACATGTACATTCAAGTAACTGAATTCACTCATATTCAGGTATGTTTTAAATGACAGCTTTGTGTTTAATCAATTCAGGAGCCTATTTATAACTTTAGTAGTTGGCCAGATTACTCCATGCAAAATAAAGCAGGTCTTTCAACAAATAAAAAAGTTCTTTCACTATTCAACTTAGGTATTTATTTCAACCACAGAGAAATTAATCAAACATTCAGAGTATACAGGTATTATTTCAATTATTTGGATGAAAACACACTAACAAAAAATGCCAGTACTTTGCACAATACCACACAAGTTTTCCCCCACTTTTTGTTGTGATACTGCTTTCTAAAGTCAAGGAGTTGATTGCTACCATAAAGGAATTTAATATGCTTAGGAGCTAAACATCCCTTCACGTCACGCATAAGACACATGTGCTTAGACAGCTGCCTCTGAAGTACACAGAGCCTACTAAGAGCTAAGACCATCACCTGCAGGTGATGAATGAGATATGGGATGTAAATATGAATGAAGAAAAACTACCACATTAAAATAGTCCTTAAAAGTCCTTAAGATGAGAAGAGCAAGTACAGATTAGAAATACTGCATTTTCGTGGAAATCTCAATATTGAAAAGAACTCAGCTGAACACTCGAGCTTGTATAGCTCAGTCTCAGTATAGCTTGTGTACATTAGACTTCGGGTTCTTCTCCACAGTTATCTATCTGAATCACCCAGGAAGTTTTCTGAAAAATATCATGCCTTGACTGCCCCCCTGAAATTCTGAATTAAGAGTACTTTAGTTAAAGTGAGCAATAAACATGTGCATTTCCAAAGAATTCTCTCAGTAATTCAAATAAAAACTCAGAACGCTGTTTGCCATTCCATACTGATTTTGGAACAGCACAATTTTAAAAACACATGGTAAAAAGGGAAGGTCCCCAGAAATTTGACATCCAAAATAAACATTATCAAAGAAGGCTCTACTAAAAAAAGGTTATTATGTGGCTTAGCTTATTTAGAGATAAAGGGCTCTCAGGCTACCGAGCTCACTTAGGGTTTTGCTAAGCAAAACAAAAATTGCAAAAAACAAATCTTATGGCTATGACAAAATGATTAGATACAAATGGATAGAAATTCAGGATTTATAGTTTCTAGTGATTTCAACATGGATAGAAGTTAAACTTTTATTTATTCCTGGTTACTAGGTTACATTATTAGATCAAATGTTCCAAAAGTTAAAATCATACTTTTTTTTACCAGTACCATGCTGTTTTTATCACAGTAGCTTTGTAGTATAACTTCAAATCATGGACTGTGATGCCCTCTCTCTTGCCTACACCTGAGGATCAGTGGAACAGATTAGAAGACTCAGAAAGAATTCCAAACACACTCAGGCATCTTCTCTCTGACAACAAACAATTCCGTTTTTTGTTTGTTTGTTCAGTTTTTGTTTTTTTTTTTTTGTACAGGGTCTCATTATGCAGTTCAGACTCGTAGTGATCATTCTGTTTTCAGCCTCCCCAAAAGCTGGGATTACAGGCATGTGCCACCATGCCCAGTCTCCATCCCCAGCTCAGCAGGCCCCAGGGGTGGGGGCCAAACACTTTCACTGAAACAAAGATAGCCTCATCAATAAATGGTGCAGGAAAAACTGGCTTTCTACATGCCAAGCACTAAAACTAGACTATGTATCTTATAGCACCAAACTGAAATTGAAATGGATCAAAGATCTAAATATTAAAACAGAAACACTAAATCTACTGGAAGAGAGAAGAGAAATCTTGAGGACGTAAGTGTAGGCAAAGATTTCATTAACACACCCCCACTTTACAGGAATTAATACAGAGAATCAAGAACTGGTATCTTATCCTATTAAAAAGCTTTTGCATAGCAAAGAAATTACATATAGAGTGAAAAGACAAGCCACAGAGTGCAAAAAAGTAAAAATCTTAGTCCTTAAAGCAAGGGACTAGATATAAAGAATTAGAAAATTTCATATTTTCAAAGACCCAAAGCCAAAAATGGGCATCTGAGATAAATATACACTTCTCAGAAAAAGAAATACAAATGGCAAGTAAATATATAAAAAAAATGTTCAACAGCAGTGGTTTGAGAGATACAAACAAAAACACTCCAAAAAGTATGGGTATCATTCAATCCCTGACACCACATGCCTCACCAACCCTGCTCCCAGGGCAGTCTGTGTAGGCCAGAGTCTGGGCATAGTGGCACATGCCTGTAATCCCAGCAACTGGGGAGGCTGAAAGCAGGAAGATCACCAAGAGTCCAAACTGCGTAGCGAGAGCCTGCAACAACAAAATACATTAAAAAAAAAAAAAAAAAAAAAAAAAAAGATGGCTATCATCAAGAAATCAATCAACAACAAAAGCTAAAGAGGGTATGGGGGAAAAGGAACCCTTCTCCATTGTTGGTGGGATCAACGTGGAAATCAGTGGGGAGATTCCTCAAAACACTAGGATCAGAGGTTCCATTCAACTCAGCTATTCCCTTTGTGGGTATCTTCCCAGAGAAATTAAAAACATCAAACCAAAGCAATATATGCACACCTATGTTTACAGCCTCATAGTTTGCAGTAGCGAAATCTTAGAAACAATCCAATGCCCATCAATTGAGTAAAGAATAAAAAAGATGTGGGGTTTATTTATTTTTATACAATGGAGTAGTAGTTGGCCATAAAGAAGGATAAATTTGAGACATTTCTCTGGTGTAAGAAACCTTAACTATAAATAAGGACCAAAGTATATAACAGCTATTGTGAAATGGGAAGATATGGTTCAAAAGAAATGGGATGGAGGGTAAGGAACAGAGAAAGGAAGGCAAAATAAAACAAAAAAATGGATAAAAGAAGGAAATGAAAATGACAACAAGCTTTGGTAAATAAGGAGGGAAGAAAGGTTGAAGAAAGTAGAAGGGATTAGGAAAAAAAAAAAGAACAATCAAGATATATATATAGGTACAAATTCCCTATGATGAATAGGATAATTATGTGTACCTAAAATGTACCAATAAACATATAAAAAATAAAAAAGAACATATGAGAAATTTTAAAAATCATAATTACTTACCATTTCAGCTAATAATTTATTTTGATTTTTAACTTCATGGCCTATTTCAATGGAAAGCTACAAAGAAGAAAGATATCCATCATTAATCATACAATGTTATTTGTGTTATAATAATGCAAAAATGCCATATGTACCCATGAACTTTTTAAAGATGAAGCTGTATTTTAAAAATATTACATATACTCTATTGCAATACTATTTACTGAAATGAATGTAAAATAAATTTAGAATTTCTACTTCTATTTTCTTTCCATTCTGATCTCACTGTTCAGTCAATTCTGACTTAGTTTTAGTAGACAATCTGACCCTTTTGTGTTTGCAGGTCTTGTTCTGTATTTTACTCATGCTGAAGTATTTAGTTATACATTACTCCTTGTATCTTACAAGATACAGAAGTGCCCATACAACTAATTCAAATCTAGATAGATATGTATCTAATATGTTCCTACTGAAATATATTACTTTTTTGTTTGTTTGTTTTTTGAGAATACACTTGAGACAAGGGAATAATAGCTGAGTTGAATCTGACCGCTTATCCTAGTTTTTTTGAGGAATCCTTCCATTGATTTCCACACTTATTATGCCAGCCTGCACTCCCAACAACAGTGGAGAAGGGTTCCTTTTCCCTTAGCTTTATTACTGATTTCATGATGACAGCCATGCTTTTTGGAATATTTTCATGTATTTATTTGCTACTTTTATGCAGTTCAGGCTGGCCTCGAACTCACGGCAATCCTCCTGCCTCAAGCTCCCTAGTGCTGGGGTGACAGGTGTGTACTACCAAACCTGGCTATTATTTTAAATACTTCTCTAAACTGATTTGTTAGATTTTAAAGATATTTTTACTCAATAATACATATAAAATAAATTTTACAACTTAGTGTTAGCTACATCTGAAAACAATGTAAAAGATAAACAAACATCCTGAGGCTATAAAACAGAAAAGCAAAGGTAATTATAGCTTTGATATAAACCAAAACCTAACACTTAACACTATAAATTCTTCAGTCTTGTTTTTTTTTTTTTTTTTTTTTTGTTTTTGGCAGAACCAGTGATTGAACTCAGACCCTTGCACTTGCCAGGGAAGCACTTATTCTACTCAGCCATCTCCCCAGCCCCTATTTCTTCAGTCTTTATTTCCAAGGTAACTAAATAAATGTGATCAACTGCTAACAATCTCAGCAAGCCATTGCAATTATTATTCCCAGTTAGTATGGAAAACATATAATATTGATATAATAAACCGTATTAGAATGCTGTAGATCACAATATGAGTTTCTCCAAAATTTAGCAAATCAGATAATAAAGCTAGATAGCCTAAACTACCACAGTACTTTCACCAAATACCATTAGTGCCAAGAGAATGTCCAAGATACCATTTTCGTCTACACTGATCTGTGATCAACACTAGCTTTGTTGTTTTAAACAGTTATTTAATTTTCATATCCTTCCAAATATTATATTTTCCAAATCATTAACATTACACGATTATTACTAGATTCATCGATCTACTTATTTTGATTTAATATGATCTTTGAAACTTTTTTAGAACACAACAGTTTCCAAGCTGAATACAATTAATTTTTCCAAAGACTACAATGAAATGCCAATTAAGTTTTGGCAACATGGGCTTCTACTGAATGCTTTGTAAGTGTACAGCTTGTACTGCAATACGAAATCAATCACGTACACTATTAAAGGCATAGATGTGAAATTCTTCTACTGAATACAAATTTAGTTAGTTAATACTGCTAACAAAGAATTGTGTTAGGTTCTATACAGAGTATTTTTTTTTTTTTTTTTTAAATACAAGATGAAATCCCAATCTGGTTTCTTTTACACACAAATAATTCCAATGTATATCACTATGAAATAAATACCACAGAAATGACACAAGTAATTTTACCCCACAGGGAAAACAGTAACTTTTGGATGGAATTCTCAGTAAGATTGAGGAATGAGCATATGCAACAAAGTAGGGCCTTCCAGATGAGCAGGACTTCAATCAACATAACAAAGAGGGTACTGAAGCAGAGGGACAGTGCAAGGCATGGAGGATGGGACAGCACCACCATGCAGAGGACACAAAGAGCACTCTCATTTGTCTGGGATAGCACACAGACTGGCAATATGGAAGACAAGGTCTAAAAAGCTGGGACCAATTCTGAAGGAACTAACCAATCAAGCTATAGTATGTGAAGGTTATTAAATCACGGATCATACAGCAGGATGCAATTTTAAAAATATTCTACAAAGACGACACAATGTAGCTCATGGCCAGAACTAAAAGGCTCACCTAGGAAAAATGAGGAACAGTGTCAGAAACTGAAAAGTAAAGACAGAAAAAATGACAGGATGTATGATATCAGTCTGAAAGGCATGAGTTTAAAAGGTAAAAAGATTACAATTTATTTGTACATTGGGAAACTAGAAGAAAAGGAACAGCTAGTTGGGGAAGAAAGGACAGCTCTTTTTGACATGTAACTGGAAAGAATATGCAATGCTTTTTTAGACTGTAATATACACATAGCAACTGGAGTTTAAGAAAAACACTGACCCAAAGTATGGTTTGATTTGCTAGAGTTTCTAACCTACTGAAAGTATGGCCTAAGTGTTGAGTGCACTTTGAGCCCACTGAACCACAGGATTTAAGTAGCTGAATTTTTTAATTATGATTTCGCAACAAGTATATAACTGACAAGAATATAAACATGAATATATAAATACAACATATATAAGATCTACTCTGTACTTACAGACTTTATAGCAGTTACTTTGCTTCTCAGACTTTCTGTGAGTCTGTCGTTTTCTTCTTCACAGGCACTGTACCCACTATTAGCATAGCTGTAGTTCCCATGGCTGCCAGGTGGAGCTCCTTCACCTGCAGGACCACAGCCACAAGTGTTGTGCAGCAAAAACAAGCCATTTTTGAAAGGTTAAGAGGCAGCAAAAAACTAAAAAAGACCCCAGAGGGTGTCATCTATCATATGCCTATAATATTCATATTCAAATAAATTTTAAAAAGTTATTACCAGAGAACAGAAGAATACACCCTCTCACAGGCTATCCAGCTCACTTCAGTACACATTTATTGATCACTTACTGAATGCCGGGAAGACACGAAGCTAGGCACTGATATGCAAAGATTTTCAGAATACATCCCCTGCTTGGTAAAAACATAGGTTTTAATAAAAGACCTAAAAGTAGTAACATCAACTACCCATTAAAGTATGTTGGCTGTGAAGGGGAAGGGAAAAACATAACCTAATGGAACAGCTTTCCCCTCCCATTAGGAATAAGGGGAACTGGGGACACAAGTTGAAGCCCTAAGAGACAGATGGAGAATTCTCTTATGGAGAATATCAGCCTAGAGTTCCACTGAGTGTTAATCATTCTTCAACAAATAACTAGAGTCAGGGATATAGCTCAGCGGCACGATGCCTGTCTGGCAAGTGCGATGTGTGTTTGATTCCCGGTACCAACAAAACAAAACCCAAATAACCAAGGAACTACCATATATCAGATCCATTCTCCTTTCCTGGAGCTACTTTTTCGGAGATTATCTTCTAATGGGTGGCATCGAGAATAGAGTTCCCACCATTCTATAATTGATGCCAATGTTCTCAGTCATGGGAGCAAAGGAACAATCTGCTAAATAATGGCAATCACCTGTAATAAATAGTAAGGAGACTAATGAAGAAAAGGACTGCTCAGCAATCTACTGTGGTGGCTTCTGCCTGCCAGATGTGTGTGCTTTCCGCCCAAAGGCTCCCTGGCTTCATTCAGCCTCTGAAAAGAAGCTACACTGTTAGACTGAACTTCAGTTGGATGTTAATAGTGTTAGGCAGCTGAAGAGCCCCAATAGTTGAGACTGCTTAATAAAAAAAGTAGCTGAAGATACGGATTACGGGGAGTACACAGGGTTCAAACAAATTCACTAGTTCACTTATAAAGACATTAAAGGATCCATAAGCAAAGAACAGATGGAGGAGCCCTGATAGTAACAGCCAGAAGGACAGGATGTGGCAGTCAGTGGTGGTGGTTGAAGGATGGTCAAGGTGTGACCATGAAGCTCTCTCAAGGCACAGTACAAATTTCATCTTCTCTACAAAGCAAATATCCTAAGCGTGTACAGTTCTGTGACTATACCACTACTATTGCTCTCTAGACTGCATTACTAGGGCAGAAAGGAAGTTTGGCTCACTTTTCCCTACACAGCCCGTAACACACACATGTGCACATAAACAGTAAGGCACACTCAGTGAATGTATACGGATAAAATGATCAAAGAACAGAACGTAAATTTACTGTTATTCAATTTTGTCTAGAATCTTATATACTTCTCTGAGCACGGAAACAGCGTCTCATAGATTTGTCTTCCCCTGTATGGAATGTGCACTTTAAATATATCAGCCATCTAAGCTACTCATTTTTACCACCACAAAATCCTGAACAAGTATATTCCAAACTGGAGAGAGCTGCTTAACTGAACCTTTCCTTCAACTTCTGGCATACTGCCTCTTAAGTCCTCAAAATGTATTATTAGAAAGTTAAGAACTCAAGGACTGGATATACTAATTTCCACTTAGTTATCAAAATCAGGCCGGGGATATAGCTCAATTGCACAGTGCCTGCCCAGCAAGTGCAAGATCCTGAGTTCAATTCCCAGTACCAAAAAACAAACAAACAACAATAACTACAATAAAAAATTAAAGTCATCACTTAAGACATAAAATCTCTGTTAACAGGCA